TGTTTTTTTTTTTTTTTTTGTGTTTGTTGCCAATTTTTCTCAGCTCTTATTGGACCGATTTTGATGAACAATATGTCAAAAGATCATAAATCGTATCTATTTTCTATGTGTAAACTTTTCAGAAAATGTTTTTTTGTTAATTATGAATTAATATTTTGGCTTACAAAGAATGTTCATTAGAGTCAAAATTTACTTTTGTACACTATTTTTTTGTGCCGATTTCAAATATGCTATTAGATTTTTTTTTCAGCTCTAATTTTTTATATTTTTATTAACTAGCAAAAAACGAGTACTTGCGTATAAAAATATTAACTTTTAATTACCCCGTGAACTGTTGGAGAAAAATTATGGTCAATTAACGGTTTTGTAGCATCCGATTGAAGTATATCCATTGCATAAGGAAGCACTAAATTTCCAAATAAATCTGTTGATTCCATTGGAAGTTGCGTTGGCATATTATCTATTGAACATACTAATACACCGGAACCTCTAAAACTATATCGTATATTAGTAAATAAAACTAGTGCATTATGATTTTGTATCTATTTCAAGGAAAATCGAATGATAAATTAATCAATCAACTTAATCATATAATATGTAATAAAAAGATAATTTTTAAGTTAGTTTAAAATAATATTGACTTTAGATAAAACATTATCTATTTATATTATTCAAAATAATGATAGATTAATTTCTTTTGACGTGCTAGTCTTATTTCGTAGTATTTCGATAGTTATAACTATTGTGTTTCAATATGAAAGACAGCTTCAAATAGTTAAACATAGAATAAGTTTTTATTGAGTAACAATAAATAATGTGTGTACCGGTGATCGCACTCGCGAGTAGTGAACAATTCCTACTACAAATTTATATAATATTTATCAATAAGTAACGCTTCTTTCTTTAAAAAATTATTATACACTTATATTCAAATAATTATTAAAATATACGTAAGTATTACAATTTAAAGAGTAAGTAAGATGTAGTTTACAATTTACCGTTTATTACCAGATAATATATTTATAAATATTAATAAAGATGTTTACATAGTGTAAGATTTGTTGTTGATATTTGTGGTCGAATTGAGAGAAATGCTGAATAGATTTTTAATTGTAACAGGTTGGGGAGTTTTTATCGAAGTAATATTGCTAAGAGGTACGATGGATTCTGTGTTACCTATGTCAGTATTTTTATCTACGGGAGATAACGATACAACTGTAGTAAATGCGAAATATTTAGAAAAAGAATTTAAAATGTGCATATATGTGATAGAATAGGGTTTGTCACACTTGATAGGTAGAAACGACTTGAAAAAATTAATTATTCACCCATTTACAATAATGTGGAAAATATAATAATCTGAATGATATTTTGAACACTTACGAAGATTTATTTAAAGACAAGATGGGCATTAGGGTGGCTCTCAAAAATCAAATGTCTTTTTTTTTACGCTACCCCTTAAATTTTTTTTAATGGTCAAAAAAATTATCTGTGCAAAATTTGAGACTGATCCGTTAAGTAAAGTAGTAAAAGTAGCTAGGAAGTGACAAAATTATAGTCGTAAAATTGATATTTGAGGGAAAAGTGCTGAATGTAATAAGTGCCTATGTACCACAAGTAGGATGTGATGAAATAGACAAAGAAGTGTTTTGGTGAGAGATGGATGAGGTTATGCGAGGGGTACCTGACAATGAGGATGCGGTGATAGGTGAAGATATGAATGGATATATAGGTTATGAGAGGAGAGGATTTGAAAGAGTACATGAAGGGTATGGTTTTAGTAGGAAGAATGAGGCTGGAAAAAGAATCCTGGATTTCGCAGTATCGTATGATCTTGCTGTGGTTAATACTTATTTTAGAAAGAAGGAAAAACTTTATATTACTTATAAGAGCAGGAAAAATAGATCACAGATTTATTATTTTATGTGAAAGAAAGAGAGCGTAAAGTGAGTAAAAGATTGTAAAGTTATACTAGGCGAGAGTGTAACTACACAGCATAGACTAATGGTAATGGAGTTGTGGTGTACCGGAAAGAGAATAAACAAAAATAGAAGAAACATCGGGGAAGAATAGAAAGTCCGGTGGTGGAAATTGAAAGGGGAAAATAAAAAAGAGTTTGTAAAGACGATAAAAAAGACGACAAACTGGAATGTTGAGGGAGAAATAAATGATGTGTGGAATAGATTTGCTAGTTGTGTGAAGAATAATACAAAGGAGATTGTTGGTGAGAGTAGGAGTAGAACGCCAGGAAACAAGGAAACCTGGTGGTGGGATGAGGACGTTAAAAAAATTATAGAAAGTAAAAAAATGCAATCCAAAGTATAGCAGAAGAACAAATGGAGAGAAGATTAGATAGAGTATAAATGCATGTGCAAAAGAAGTCAAGTGTGCAGTAAGTAAGGAGTGTGGAAATTATAGAGGCATAAAGCTTATGAGTCATAATATGAAAATTTGGGAAAAGGTAATAGAAAAGAAAATAAGAAATGAGACATCGATATCTATAAACAAGTTTGGTTTTATGTCTGGTAAGTCAACAATGGAGTCATTATTTTGTGTGAAATAGCTAATAGCTAATAGAAAAGTATAGGGAGAAGAAAAAGCTGTGTATAGTATTTATAGATTTGGAAAAAGCGTATGATAGAGTATCGAGAGAAGTTTTAAAGTAGGCATTAATGAAAAAAGAAATCCCTAAAAGTACATTAATATAACAGAAGATATGTATTATGACACTTGTACCAGGATTAAAAATGTGGAAGTGTAGTATAATTATTAGGGCAAGTACTAAATATCACATATATGTGAATAAAGCAAAAAATTATCTAAGGAATGTTTCCCTTTTAGGATAATCAAAATAACCATTTATCAAAACATGTTTAAAACCAGTGCCCTACAATTCATTAACTATGCCTACGTCTGGGTTTTTATCATAATTAACCAATCACAAATAATTATCCAACATCTCAGGAATTTCAATAGAGATCGCTAGCTTACTTTATCCGACATATAAAAAGCCTATTTTTTTTATAAAAATGGGGATGATGATCAATATTCTCTTACATGAAATCTGCGTCAGTATAAGTAAATATTTTGCCCCTATGACTTTTTTTTTTCTTATATTATTTTAAATGGCGAACATTGTTTTAGATAATTTATTAATATTTTAACCAGAAATAATTTTTATTAATTTTTATAATTTCCTAATATCCTTACAAGAAATAAATATAGTTTGTATTTTATATAAGTTTGTATTTTTATTTAATACTAAAGCGAGAAATCAACATTAGATTAACACAGTCAACTATTAAAGGAAATTAAGGTAAGAGTGAATATTTATTTGCATGCTTTACTTACTAAAAATTTATGTAATAAACTAGAATAAGAATAATAATAAGTGAGGTAAGGACATTTTATTATTTTATAACTCAACATAATTCAACCCCAAGATACCATTTCATCCTTAACTCCTTTATTATTTAAAATACTCATATTCTCAACAACCATGAATTTTTGTTTATTACAGAAGGTGTAACAGAATGTTTTAGGGTAAGATTAGGAGTGTACCAAGGTTCTGCTTTTAGCCTTTCTCTAGTGTTAATAGGAGAAAATAGGGAGGAAATTAATTAAAAGCTAGAGGTGTGGAGATCAGCTCTTGAAGAAAAGGGTTTAAGAATAAGTAGAAGTAAGGCAGAGTATATAGAGTACGAGTTTGACAAAAGAGAACACGAGGTAGGTGAAATGAGGAGATCAGTCACAATAGGCGGGGACATGATTGGAGAGGTGGAAAGTTTTAAGTATTTAGGGTCAGTTGTGCAAAAGAGTTCAAGTTCTATAATTTCTTTAATATTACATTCAAAAATATAGAGTTTAAAATTTTCTTTATTTAAATCATTCCAAACCTGCTGAAATCGCTCGAAAATTGGTACGTTTTTACCAGTATAACAACTAATTTTACTATCGAAAATGCTTCTGAGTATAGTTTCAAATATATGGTGACGGCAAAGTAAATAAGCATTTTTTTTTCAAAAATTCGTTCTAACAAAACACAAGTATCTCCTAAATGACCATTGTTTACGGCAATTTTATCGAAAGATAAAGCCTTTACTGATTTATTTATGTTCCATTCGACTAAAGTTTCATATAGTAATAATGCTTGATTTTTAGACAAAATGTAATACAATACCATAAATTGTGTTAGGTTTGTAATTAATAATTAATTAACTGTCCAAAAAATAATAAATCTAGTATAATTATCGTACTTGGCATAAAAAATTAAACTTTCAGAATTTTTTTTTAGAAATTTGCCTTTTCAACTCAACTTAATTTACCCTGGGGCACGGGTTAACCTTAACGGATCGGTCTCAAATTTTGCACAGATAATTTTTTTGACCATGAAAAAAAATTAAGGGGTAGCGTAATTAAAAAGACGTTCAATTTTTGAGGCCCACTCTAATGGGCATTTTTAATCAATTTTTTTAAATTTATCAATTATTAAGTACTTTTCCAGTTTATATTCTATACCTTATTAGGGTATAAATTTCATTTTTCAATGCAACATACATATTACACTATATAATAAAATAGAAAATGGTTTAATTAAGATAATGACTAGTTAATTAAAATTTTTGCATTTTAAAATACAAGTACTGATTATTTTTATCATTGGAAATTTCTATCTTTTATTCGAACAATTTAAGATCTTCATCACATAAAATTATTTTTATTTTTAGATAATTGATGGGGCTATGAAAAACCGATTAATCTGTATATTGTATGATCACAATATACCTTGGTAGTTAAAAACATTATTTTAACATAGTTTTATTATTAATTAACGTACAATACCTTTTTGTGTCTTTGTGTAAATGTGCATCATATAAACAAAATGGGTTATCGATGGTTGTACATTCATTCATAAACTCAATGGATCCACCAGGATCTGCAGATATATCACAAATACCAAGCAGTCTATGAGGCAATCCCGGCGCTCCTTCAGAAACAGGAATCCATGGTAGCTGGGAAGGAGTTAGAAGAGATTTTGCGTCGGGAACAGTTAATAGTTTAGAACTGTCTGGTGCCCAATAAATTCCATTAATAATTACTGAAGCGTATGGCGCGATCTATTATGAGACTTAAATATTAAGCATTGGTATTTTATATATTTAAAGTGTATTATACCTTTTTATTAAATGTTGATCTGTATCTTGATGGATACTCTTCACACTCTTTTCTATCGTACCCCCCTCCTTCATTTCTTTCTAAATGATCACTACGTCTGACAACACAAGCGTAAAATTTGGTACTTGCTTAAAAAAAATTATATATAACTATTTTTACCTAGTATATTGTTTCATTTTTTATAATTGATAAAAATTATGATTTATTAAATTTATTACCTCCATGTTCAGCTACTTTTTGAAGCATTGATGGTGGTACGTATTCGTGAGGAAGTTCTTGAAATATTTCTTGAGCTCCCTGAGACACATTACCTGACCTTAAAATTTATTGATTAAAAAAATATATAGACATAGGTCATTGTTGTAACTAATAAAATAATGCTTGTTAAGTCAGATCGGAATATAGACTTTTTATATATATATAAAAAAAAAGAATTATTAAATGTAAATATAATTTTATTTTTAAATATTTTCAAGAGAAGATGTAACGATTCATACTTGAATGATATTAATAGTACAATAGCTTTAATTTTTATGATAAGAGTCACAGCCAATGTTATGAATTAGCAGAAAAAAATAAAAATTATTCCACTTTCTAATAAAAATTTAATATTTTTAAAAAATCAATCTTAAAGTAACTAATTTCTGAATTGTATAAATTATAATATAACTTTTAAAAAACATTTTGTGTAAAATCATATTAATTATCAATTTTTTGAACTTTTTTTACTTCTATTCAAAATAATTCTAGAAATATAATTAATAAAACTATTGGTATATAGTTTTTAGTTATTCAAAATTCTTAGTTAATTTCTTGTATATTATAAAATAATTATTGAGAGATCATGTCTATTATCTAGATTCTCAATTATTATAAATGGTAATACCATATTTATCATATAATTAAGTATATTAATTATTACTGGAAGCATGGAAATTTATGATTTATATTTAATTAAAAAACCTAAAATAATTTTTAAAAAAACGGTAGCACAGTAAGGACACGGAACAGTATGAGTATGACATATTTGGGACAAATATAGATGATATCTGACAGTGGTTAAAGCACTATCATAAGAAACGCTTCGATGCAAATCTGTAGATAGTGTTTTATTTTAAGAAATTGGTGGATTAAATCAAAAGCAAATTTCTAACTCAAAAAGAATTAAAGAAAAAATTGCAAAAAAATGATTGCCACTGGCAATAGTTTTTATTGAATCGGCATTCATTTTTTAATAAAATTTGCAATTTAAGCTGATACAAATGTTAAAATTAATTTTTTCAACTTAAAGAAAAAAATAATTGCAATAATTTTAACTTTATGATTTATGTCAATTAGTATTATATAATATTCATGAAAATCAGTGTACCCCATTATGAGGTATATTAATCATATATATATATATATATATATATATATACAGGGTGATTTTTTTTATCATAACCCACTCAATTACTTACAGAATAATAATAATTTAATAAAATTTTTTTATTACTATCTTTAGTTACACATTATTCTTGATTTTATTAACTATGTAATACTTTTTAAGATCATCCCTTATGCCTGGTAAGGGTGTCAACTTTGTTTTTTTAAATGGTAACACATATTTTGAATTTAATAAAATGTTTGAGTTTTCAATTCAATAACAAATGTCATTTGAATTTTTAATATAACTTTATTCGTTTATTAGATATAAACATTTAAAGTTTCAATTTTTTGAGTTAATATACATGTATAATACACTAGGGATTAAAATTATAGGTAGCTAATTGGTTTTTTATGACATCGATATTAGCAGGTACAAAGCATTGTTATTATCAATGGTAGTAAGGCACATTGTTATGAGTTTATAAATACACTAACTGACAATACAGAATGTATATCTATTGATAGTCATAATTGATAATAAACAATCCGTGACTGTGATAGCAATATCATAAAAAATCAATTAGCTACCTGTATTTGTAATCCCTTGTGTATTATACCTATATATTAACTCAAAAAATTGAAACTTTAAATGTTTATATCTAATAAACGAATAAAGTTATATTAAAAATTCAAATGACATTTGTTATTAAATTGAAAACTCAAACATTTTATTAAATTCAAAATATGTGTTACCATTTAAAAAAACAAAGTTGATACCCTTACCAGGCATAAGGGATGATCTTAAAAAGTATTACATAGTTAATAAATCAAGAATAATGTGTAACTAAAGATAGTAATAAAAAAAATTTTTTAAATTATTATTATTCTGTAAGTAATTGAGTGGGTTATGATAAAAAAATCATCCTGTATAAGATTCAGTATTTATGGAAAATCACTATCTTAAAAAACGCTTCGATGCAAATTTTTAGATAGTGTTTAATTTTAAAAAATTGGTGGATTATTCCAAAAGCTACATGATTTGTTATTTCCTTATTTAAATTCTGATTAAGATAAAGTATGTCGAATGAAATAGAGTATAAATATTATTTCTCATAAAAAAATTGTACACCCTGTATATATTATTAAGTTGTACTTTAATTGTTTCTGTAGAAGTTGAATCACACGGGGCGATTTTAATTTCTTCATCTTTTTCCTCACCTTTATCTCAAATATTTGAGGTTAGCAACTCTTATCCTAAATTTTCATTTGACATGATCTCCCACATCATCTATACACACATCTGCCGTTCTCGTATTACATTCAATAACATCCCTCCATCTCACCGTGTGATTTCAATATTCATGTATGATAATTTTTTTAACTTAGATATGAAGCGGCAAAAATATTAATTTTACCATGTGGGTTTATTATTTTTTTTTTTTTGTGACTCACTACTTTTTCTTAACAATACGTCGAAAGATCACAAATCATATCTAGTTAAAGACATTACCACCAAAAGTTTAAAATTTTGCCCTCATTCCCCGTAAATAGTTAAAATCCCCCAAAAAATTACGATTTCTGAAATCGGTGAATTTTGACTTTTATTTCGAAGAATTGTCATAACTATCATAAATATATGTCAAATGAAAGCTTATGATAAATACTATAAGTTTAAAAAAAAAATGGTAGTACAGTGGAGTCACCAAACAGTATAGACATGGCAAAGTTAAAACAAGTATAGATGATATCTGACAGTACTTAAAATCACTATCATAAATCATAAAATATTCTTCGATGCAAATCTATAGATAGTGTTTAATTTTAAAAAATTGATGGATTATTCCAAAAGATACATCTTTTATTATAGATCTCCTATTTCCTTATTTATATTTTGATTACAAGTTTTATGATTTATAAGTGTAATATATGAATAAATATATAAATGTATAAAGAGAAATGGTTTTACTTAAAAAAAAAGTATGTCGAATGAAAGAGGTATATAAATAGTATTTATCATAAAAAAATTGTATTGATCAATACATTTTTCAAAAAGTTATATCATTCTAAAATTAAAAATGTTAAACATACAACATTTACATAATAAAGTATACTACATTAGCTTTAATTTAAAGTATACCTAAAAGTGTAGGCATTTTCGGAAAACTTTTAAAAATTAAGTTGAAAAAATTAATTTTTTGTGAAAAAGTTGTCATTTTAAATCCCCCCCTGTGGGCAGGTAAAGAGTCACATTAAAAAAAAAATATACCAAATGAAAGGTAATGATATCATGCATCTATATAAAAAAAAAATTATATTGATTTGGTTATTTTTAAAAAAGTTACAGCAATTTTAAGTAAAAAAAATTGAAAAAATTTCGAAAATTAGTGATTTTTAAAATTTGTAATTTTTTTGAAGGTTTCCCCCATTTACGGGGAAAGAGGGAATTTTTTTCAATTTTTGAGGATAATGTCTTCGATTAAATACGATTTGTGATCTTTTGACGTATCGTTGAAAGAAATCCGTTCGGTGAGATCTGAGAAAAAGTGGTAACAGACACAAAAAAAAAAAACACATCATAGTAAAACCAATACCTTCTCAGCTTCGCATCGAAGCTAATAACAAAGACGCCTTATGCTTACTAAGAAGCATATTAATCGGGAAGGTTATCGTTTACATAATAAAAAAATATAATTTTTGTACACAATTACAATATTAAATTATTAGATATCAATTTCATATTATATTTGATTCTTATAATAAATATTTATTCATATATTACACATATGAATAATAAAACTTGTAATCAGGACATAAATAAGGAAATAGAAGATCATGTTGCTTTTGGAATAATCCACCAATTTTTAAAATTAAACACTATCTACAGATTCGTATCGAAACGTTATTTATGATAGTGATATTTATTTTTATGTCTGTCTCCACTTTTTCTGTACTCTCGCTTTACCGATTTTTTTAACATTATGTTAAAATATCACAAATCGTATGTAATTGAAAAAATTGCCCTTAAAAATCAAAGAAATATCCTTTATTTCCTGTAAATGGAAGAAATCTCCCAAAAATTACAATTTTTAAAAGTTTAACGTACTTAAAATTAAAAAGCGTTTTTTATGATAGTGATTTTAATCAGTATCAGATATCATCTATACTTGTTCTAACTATGCCACGTCCCAATGTGCTGGGTTTATATTTATTTCATTTTGTTACTTATACTTCTTAATTTATTAGTCATGAAGTTGTTTTATGTTCATTTCTTATGCTTGTTATAACTTGTTGATAACTTTTATTTTTCAAATGGGAAGATACATAATAGATTACTATTAGTATAATTAATAATATTATAAAATATGGTCGATAGTAAATTTTGAATTAGTATTTCAGGAGTAATTATCAATTTAAAATAAAATGATGAGGTGAGGAGTGGGAGCCCATACTATGGCTAAGAGTTCTTTCCCTGTTGTGCTGTAGTTCTTTTATCTCTTGTTATATTGGTAAATCAGACCCAATTTTCCCTTGGGATAGTATGGCTCCTATGGCTGAGTTTTTTTAGATTTGTGATTTATATAGGAACATGTTACCAAAAAATTTAGAATATTAACATTCTATAATATTCCAAAAATTTGGAATGTTTTAGACTATTAGTAACATACACAAATAAAGTTAAAAAATTTATAAATTACAAAATAAAATAATTTACTTTTGCAGTTGACTACTTTTATCATATCAAATTTAATTCGACAATAAATACATTAAAAATATTAGAAATGAATAATTTTAATTTTTTGTATGGCTAAAGCTGTTAAAGGTACTTTTTATTTGATTAAGGGAATTTTTGAGGGTAATATCTTCAACTAAATACGAATTGTAGTCATTTGACGTATCGTTGAAAAAAGTAGGTCAAGTGAGGGTTGGATAAATAAATTGTAGCCACAAAAAAAACCACATAGTAAAATAATATTAACATGAATAAGAAATTTCTTCTCATGAGGGGAGACAACAGTGATGGGATTCTTGATATTTATTGAAGTTATAATAATAAAAATCGCGTAGTTACAAGTACGTACACGGACGCACATATATACATCGTACATATCAAGAATTGTGACATCAACTACATGATTCATCGTAACAGAATGTTTATCTTATTAGGATAATTAAATATAAGTAAAAACATTAATTTATATTATAAATCTATAATAATGTCTTTACCGGAGGATTTTTAGTAATACACAATTTATTACTAAAAACTATTACTATTAATTTAAAATAAAATTGAGTTTGGTCGTCTGAATTAATCTGGCTAAAATAATTGCATGAAGAAATAACGATATTCACAAATAATAAAAATTCATTTGTACATTTTTGTGTTGAAGCTAAGTTGCCTTTTATCCTATATTCACTTATATCAGACGTGATTTTGTAATCATACATACTTGAGATCCTTTCACTTAAGTTCTATTATTATCGATTACCGTTTATCGATCCCTCCTAAAACGCTACACCACTTTAACCATCAGGCCGCCTCGATACCTTTTACTTTTTGTTTATTTCATAGTGAAAATATATATTCAAATAAAATGCATGCTTACCCTGTAAAAACAAATGTAATTGGTCCAATAGATTTTGGCATCATGCCTAGAGCGATTTCATAACCAGCATCTCTTAATGCTTGTCTAGCCATCATAGAGTTTCTGTAATTATGTGCTGGTCCTATATGCTAAGTTAAAATTATAACATTTAAACAAATATTTTAAATAAATGCATTTAATAAAATAAATATTATGATTTAATACATTAGGGTAAGTTGACGTCATTGTAATAGCGTCAGTCCTAGTACCCCAACGTCTCAGAATTGATTCTCATATACCATCAGGTTATATGACTTATTGTACTAATTCAACAAACCGATCATAAAAAAAAAATTACAGTAATAAAAAATATAGTAAGAACTGAAAATTTGTAGCTAATATTTTTTTAAAATTAATTTGATTTTTTTTTTAATTTTAAATAATACATGATAATATACATTAATATTACTGTGTATTGAAATCTATTTATAAAAAAAATATCTATGTATATATTAAAACTTACCATTAACGGAGTGTGATGCCCTAAAGCTAATAGTCTTAATCCAAGACCATGTAAGATATTAATTATACCAGCGATGCCGGCATATTTGCCGAAAGCCACAACTCTATTTCCAGATGAATCCATTAATTTCTCATAATCTATTAACCGGATGTTCTTAAAAACAATAATTATTAATGTTTTTATTTATTGATGAATTATTTATTTATCGGAAAAAATAATCATAAAAACTAAGACATTTAAAATTTTTTTTTCATATCACTAAACATTATTAATATTTGGTGTTTTTAAATAATGTTTTATAACATTAAACTTTTTTTTTTTTTTTTTTTAAAACGTTTACTAAAAAATTTACAATCTATACAGCTATATGTACAATAAGTAAATATATGAATAGGAATAAAATAGACAATGATAGGCGGCGAGGAGGAAGCTCACATTAGAGCCACCTGTGTATTATTAATTTTAAGTGGGTTAAATAATATTGAGAAGGTCTCTTGACCAGTTGCGTTTGAGGCGCCTGTTTGGATTGCCCGGAAGAATTGTTGAGTGTAGCTGAGTAACGAGACGGTTTGGATGGGATTGCATTTTGGAATGTAGTCTTTTGTAGTAGATGTGTGCAGTTTTTTTAACTATTGCTATTTTGAGGTCTTCGGNTTTTAACTGTAGCTATTTTGAGGTCTTCGTGGAGGGAGTTGTTGGTGACATATCATGGTGCTTTGGTTATCATACGGAGACAAATAGACTGGAACGCCTGTATTGTCCTTATGTTAGACGGCTTTGCAACACCCCAGAGCGCGATACCGTATGACCAATATGGTTGGAGGAGGGATTTGTAAAGAAGTAGACGATAGGATATGTGCTGGTTGTGTTGGATGAGCGGTCTTATTAGATGAAGACGAGTATTTAGCTGTTTCCGTTTACTTTTAAGATGAGGACCCTATGTGAGCGTTCTGTCGAATAGCAAGCCCAGGTATTTCGCTTCCCTTGCTTGTGGAATAATAGTGTTGTTGAGAATTATGTTAGGACAGTCATTTTGACGAAGGGTGAAGGTGATGTGGGTAGATTTTAGTTCGTTGATTTTTATTTTCCAGGTGTCACACCACTTGGATAATATGTTGAGGTGAGATTGTAAAAATTTGCTACAGTTATGCGGATCTTGATCGGCAGCTAGTATTGCAGTATCATCTGCGTATGTTCCGATGAGTGTGTTTGCGGTATTTGGAATGTCAGCTGTGTAGATGATGTATAAGAAAGGAGCAATGTCGTTACCTTAGGGGACTCTGGCTTGAATATTATGATAATCGGATAGTGTAGAATTAAGTTTGACTCTAAAATACCTGTTTTCAAGGTATGATTTGTGTAGTAGAAAGTATGGTGCAGGAAATATTTTTTTTAATTTATATAGTAAGCCGGTGTGCCAGCCCGTGTCAAATGCTTGCGCGACGTCAACATTAAACTTTTAACTCAATTTGCAAGTTTGAAATTGAGATCATTAAATAGAAAATTTTATGAGAATTAAAAAAAAATAATAATATCGTTAAAATTCAGTCAAGAAGTTGCAGTCATGAAATTTTATAATTAGTATTTATAGTAAATTTATCAGAAAAGCTCAATATTTATTTTGCACTTTTATCGTAATAGATAACTTAAATAGAAATAATAGTAATCATTTCCTAGTAACTTTTGATGTTAAAAAAGATTCAATTGAAATATTCAGAAGTTAATTAGTTTTAATGATTTACTTTAACTAAAAGAATTAATCAAAACAAAGTTGTTAAAAAATTTACTGAATTGAGGGTATTATAAAATTTGATTATAATTGTAAAAATCCATTATTAATTTAGGAGAAACTAACAACCATTTATTTTTAAAATAATTTATATAACAACATGTTACCAAAAAATGTGGAATATCATAATCTAGTAGTAGCATACACAAATAGAGTATTATGAAATTACAATGTAAAATAATTTAATTTTGTAGTTGAAACCTATCATATCAAACTTGATTTGTCAATAAATATTTTGAAAACATTAGAAATGAATGATTTTAATTGTCTCTATGGAGAACATGGGATAAGTAATTGTTTAATTGATCAATTAGAATTTTTTATTCAATTTTTGAGTTTTTCTTCGACTAATTGTAATAATTTGACGTATCGCTGAAAAATGTAGGTCAAGTTATAGCAGAGAAAATAAATGATAGCCATAAAAAAATACCTTCTCAGTTTGCATCGAAGCTAAAACCTAAATTATAGTAAAATAATTTTAATAAGAATAAAAAAATTTCTTCTCGCAAGGGGTGACTACAGTGATGGGTCATTGATCTTTATTTAAGTTATTGAATCTAAATGATATAAAAGTCAAAGGAGTTGAACATTTATTCTAACTTAAAAAGAATTAAAAAAAAAAATGCAAAAAATTCCTTGCCATTCTCGGGTTGGAACCTTGTTACCTAAGCGCGTAATACAATGTGTTACTGACTCAGCATCCATACGTCGCTTTCGTCAACCGAAAATAATGGCAATTTAAATTAGTTCGAATTTCAAGGTTATTTTTCTCAATTTAAAATATGCAAAAGATTTTAAATAAGTTTAACTTTCAATTCTATATAAATTTGATTTATATAATATTCATTAAATCAGTGTACTACTCTTGTCAGATATTTTAAAATAAAATACAAAACCCAGGATTTTCACACAAAATAGCATATTTTTGAATACGGTAGTCGTTTTCACCATGAAGACAAATTCAGAGGACAATTTTTTTCAAATTAAAGTATATTACAAGAGCTTTAATTTAAGATATATATAAAAGTGTTAGTATTTCTGGAAGAGTTTTAAAACTTAAAATGAAAATGTCCTAGTTTCAATACGCATGTTTAAAGTTTTGACCTCCTTTATATAAAGCGATATAAAGCGAATCCGATTTACAAAAAAATGTGTCAGATGAAAGAGATATATAAAAAAAAAAAAATATAAAAAATGATAGGTGAAGACATCATGTGTTTATAAAAATAAAACAATAATGATTTGGTCATTTTTGAAAAAGTTATGGCAGTATTAAGTAAAAAAAATTGAAAAAATTAGCGATTTTTATATTTGTAATTTTTTATTTTTGAGGGTGATGTCTTTGACTAGATACGATTTGTGATCTTTTGACGTATCGTTGAAAGAAATCGGTTCGGTGAGAGCTGAGAAAAAGTGGTAACAGCAAAAAAAAAAAAAAAACACATATTAGTAAAACCAATACCTTATCAGCTTCGCATCGAAGCTAAAAATGTATTTTGGTTCATTCATTATTCAATAAGTTATTTTTAGAAAAAAAATTTACCGATTTAAAAAATCGCAATTTTTTAGGGGATTTGAATCATTTATGAGAGACAAAGGAAAAACTTTCAATTTTTGAAAGTAGTATTTATTCAATTTAATTTTTAGAAGTGTTCCAGAAATACTGACACTTTTATATATATCTTAAAGCTTATGAAATAATTTTTAATATGAAAAAAAAATTTCGGACATTATATTGTTTTCATGGTGAAAATGGACATCAAACATAATAAAAAAATATAATTTTTGTACACAATTACAATATTAAATTATTAGATATCAATTTCATATTATATTTGATTCTTATAATAAATATTTATTCATATATTACACATATGAATAATAAAACTTGTAATCAGGACATAAATAAGGAAATAGAAGATCATGTTGCTTTTGGAATAATCCACCAATTTTTAAAATTAAACACTATCTACAGATTCGTATCGAAACGTTATTTATGATAGTGATATTTATTTTTATGTCTGTCTCCACTTTTTCTGTACTCTCGCTTTACCGATTTTTTTAACATTATGTTAAAATATCACAAATCGTATGTAATTGAAAAAATTGCCCTTAAAAATCAAAGAAATATCCTTTATTTCCTGTAAATGGAAGAAATCTCCCAAAAATTACAATTTTTAAAAGTTTAACGTACTTAAAATTAAAAAGCGTTTTTTATGATAGTGATTTTAATCAGTATCAGATATCATCTATACTTGTTCTAACTATGCCACGTCCCAATGTGCTGGGTTTATATTTATTTCATTTTGTTACTTATACTTCTTAATTTATTAGTCATGAAGTTGTTTTATGTTCATTTCTTATGCTTGTTATAACTTGTTGATAACTTTTATTTTTCAAATGGGAAGATACATAATAGATTACTATTAGTATAATTAATAATATTATAAAATATGGTCGATAATTTGAAATTGATATTTAATAATCTAGTTTTTATTATTTTTATGAATAAATTATAATTAACATAGTAAGGTTAGAGTAATCATAATTTAATAACTTTTTTAAAATTATTAACTATACATTTTAAATATAAAAAAAATAAATTTCACTCTAGTTTGGAAGGTAAACCATAATTGAGTACTTTTCATTTTTATTATTTTTGATATTATCGTCATTACTTACTTTTTCTAATATTGAGTCTAATAAAGGCATGTTTGCTTCTTGAGCTTTAATTGTATGTGAAAACATACAATATGTTTTGTTTGGTAATAATAAATCTATAGGTACTTGTTTTACGCCGAAAATGACAGAAGCTTCTGATATATCTTCTTGTATCACTGCTCCGGCGTTAACATAGGCCTAATTATAAAAATAAAATAACTGAAATTTACATAAAAATCTATTTTTATTGAATAAATAATTTTGGCTAAAACTTTTGTGTACCTAGGTTAGATGTAAAGTGTGGTCAAGAAATGAAAATAAAAAAATAAAAAATAAAGCAAATAATAAAAGACTATAACTAATAAAAAGACTATTTTAATGAATGAAATTTAAGTAAATTTCATACTAAAATTTGTAAGCAAAAATAAAAATATGTCATTACATAAAATCAATTAATAAAATTTATCTATATTCAACCAAAAAAAAAGTATTATTAAGTTTAAATTATTTAGTGTTTTAAAAACGCAGCGTTTTATATGTAATAAACCTTATTTTTTAAGAAAACATGCTAAATTGTTTAAATTATTTTAGTGCATAGAATTACGAGGCCTATATATACACAGATGAATAGATGTATTGTAATTCTAAATGTTTGTTGGACCTAATATTTTGGAATCAAGGATTGGGCGTACATTTTTAGAATTAATTATTAATTATAAGTAATGTTATAAGAAAGATATAAAATCTAGAATTATTTAAATACTTTCAAGGGAATTGTGTTATTTGGAATATGCTAATGTTACTTAAAAATAAAACTCAGTTTCAACTAAAAATATATTAAACTAAGTATATACTTGAACTGGATAAGCTCTTCTATTAGCTGGCTGAACAATAACTTTGACTCCATTTCTTGTTAACTGAGCCACATTGCTTGGAGCAAATGGTGCTCGCCGTTCCCATACTGATTGATCTTCTCTACGTATAGCTATTACTTTTCCAGCCTATTAAAAAAACAAAGTATTTTATGTATCAAAAAGTATATTTAATCAATTAAATTCTCACGTGTTTTTTTCTAATAGAAATAAATCTATTACACTTTTGATAAAACCTCAACATAATATAGTGAGCTATTTGACGAAAATAAAAATAAAATTATTCAAATTTTGAATTATAACTTTGTAAGCTGATTGTTTAATACATTATAATAATTTACGGTATAAGAATTATTGTTTTATATTATATTCATCATATAACAAACAATATATTTAATCAAAAGTAATGTATGGGTTAAAATAATAGTAGGGGATTGTTATCATAACCTTATTATACTGTAATACATATGATTGTCTATAAATTTTAATACGATAAAAAACATTAAGATTTCAGATTACCTAGAGACATTAGAGAAACGTGAAGATCAAAGTCCTCGATATTTTCTATACTATGTTCAAAAATGTATGCTTATCATGGTAAAATGTACACTATTTGTCTAAAGTTAGATAAATTTGAAATAGAAATTTAAAAGATCCGATTTTTTCAATATTTGGATAGTGAACCTTTAAAATTAATGGATTACTTCTTCAATAAAATATAAATTTATGTTTTTATTAACTTTTTAATAGATAATATAAATCTTATGCAATATAAATAATGTAATGAAAATTTGAATTTTAAAATCCATTAAACAACAAAGGTTTTATTTTCTTAAATACTTTGATAATTAATAAATGTGGAAAATAAAGTTTTATTCAAATTCATCCATTATGCTCTAATGTTAAGAATACTATTCTACTATAAGAAAATATATTTTCTGTATCATTCAGTGTAGTAGTATACAAAGTGATAAATTTATCATAAACCACTTAATTAATCAAAAAAATAGGAATGTATAGCTGGTAGAAATTGAATTATGAATATACACCAGTACGACATGTGCGCTACATATCTAATAATTGTAACTGTATAAATCCTAAAATCGTTACCTACCCATCAAACTTCTTTGTAAAAGAAGAAAAAAAATAGTTGTCAAAAAAAAAAAATGATTACAAATTTGTATTATAATTTTTTTTTCATTAATAACAAATAATAATAAAAAAAACCAGTACAGTAGGGTCGCGATACTGTGAGGACGTGGCATATGGATTAAGTACAATGATATCTGACAGTGATTAAAATCACTATCATAAAAAACGCTTTGATGCAAAGCTGTAGATAATGTTTAATTTTAAAAGATTGATGGATTATTCCAAAAGCTATATGATCTCCTATTTCCTTATTTATATCCTGATTACAAGTTTTATGATTTATAAGTGTAATATATAAATATTTCAAGGGAAATGGTTTATTTAAAAAAAAAGTATGTCAAATGAAAGAGGTATATAAATAGCATTTATCATAAAAAAATTGTATTCATCCATACAGTTATCAAAAAGCTATAGCATTATACAATAATTGTATAATTTTTATAATTTTTAATTATTAAAAATGTAAAAATGAATTTTTTTACAAAAATCGTATTTTTTTTTATTAAATTTGATGTCCGTTTTCATCATAAAACACTTTCAAAAGTTAATTTTTTATGAAAAAGTTGTCATTTTGAATCCCTTTTAGGCAGGTAAAAGGTCAAATTTATAAAAAAAATATATCAAATGATAGGGAAAGACATCGTGCATTTATAAAAAAAAATTATTTTAATTCGGTCATTTTTGAAAAAGTTATGTAAGTTTTAAGTAAAAATAATTGTAATTTTTTTTGGAGATTTCTCCCATTTACAGGGAAAGAGGGAAATTGTTTCAATTTTTTAGGGTAGTTTCTTCGACTAGATACGATTTGTGATATTTTGACGTATCGTTGAAAGAAATCGTTTCAGTGAAAATGAGAAAAAGTGGTAACAAACACAAAAAACACATCATAGTAATATAAATACCTTCTCAGCTTCGCATCAAAGCTAAAATATTAAGAAGTTTTTTAATTTTTTTTAAATTTATAAATAATAGAATACTTCTAATTCATCCAATACTTTATATGGATATCAACTTTAATTCTTCAAATGACAACATACACTAATAAATTAGTGTATTTATTAGAACATGACTTAATATAGAAAATGATCGGCGGATAATAATTTTTGGTCGGGTATTTCGGAAGCTATTAATATTTTATAGTAATTTTATCACTACTCATTTCCCGGCCGTAATTTTCCTTCTACCTAGTTATAAAAATGTCAAAAGATTTAGATATGAAAGCATTGAAATATTAGCTAACAATAATAAACATATTAGAATTAATAATACTATATAATATAAAAATTAAATTTTTTTAATAATAATATTTTTAATATAAATTTTTTATCTGTAACTAATATTTTAAATATATATTTGTAATTAAAATATAAATAAGTAAATTAAACTATTTAATCTGACCTTGAACGATATATTTGGAGGATGATCAGATATTAGATATTAGTTAGCAAAATTTGAGTACAAAAATGTTTGCTTATTGTAGTATTACATTATGATACATGTTCTAAATAATACACATACTTAATAAAAATATATCATCAATTATAAGTGTTTTCCCGTAGATGAGATAAATAAAAAATTTATACCCTTACACAAATATAAACTACCCACTTACGTATTCCATAAAACGCTCACATAAAAGATTCTATCATATTGACCAATGAATTACAACAAAAAATATTTTATGAATTTTGCCAGAGATCACTAAACCAGTTTTGCGAACTATAAAAAGGCCATTTTTCCCAAATAAGAGAGTTTTTAGTCAATATTCACATACATGGAATTTACGTCATTATAAGTAAATATTCTGTTCCTATGACTTACTTTTTTTTTATATATACACATTACTTTAATTAATTGTACATATTTTTTGAACGATTCAAAATATTTTTAGCCATATAAGTTATATTTTTCTTAATTTTTACATAAATATTCTCATAATAAATCAACATTATTTTAAATAAAATAAATATTAGTAGTGGCGTATTTTGAAGTTTATAATAGGGGGGGGGGCACAAAAAATGTTCATGAATAAGGTACTTTAAAACGACTTTTTTTTTTACTCATAACTTTTGTTAACACATATTTTAGATTTTTTTGAAAAAAAACGGTTATTTGTTTTGAACCTATTTTTATTAAAAAAATATTTATTTTTATACAATGTGTATCTTTACGTAATAAACACTTCAAACGTAGGTAATAACATTAACGGGACAACTGAGCGGGTGTCAAGTTTTGCTCCACGAGACAATTATATCGACTTACATTTCATAAACCCATGCTATTATCGATAACCAAAAAATAACTTTTTCTAACGATATTATACATTGCTTGATAAAATATTTAAATAACTCAGATAATCGTGGCATGTGCCTCTGTGCCCTCTCTAAATACGTCACTGAATATTAGTATACCTCTCATTTTTTAACAGCCTATGAGTAATTTTTTTTCGGTTTTTGTTAATTACATATGTATTTCCACTTATCAGTTAAAAAATAATTTTTAGATCCATCTCTTATATTTTATTAGGATCTGGATTTTATTTTCTTAAATGGTCTATCGACTTCAATTTTTGGGTTAGTAGTTCGGAAGTTATTTTCATATTTATACCTAGGTGGAAGAAAGAGAACTAGTTGTAAATGACTACCCAAGCAGAAATTTTTGTACAACGCCAGTATTAACCAAGGGGCAGTACTGGCATTTGATAGCTGGCTAGCCGGTACTGACGTAGTATTGGATGTTATCTTGAGACAGTACTGACCATAAATACTAATCTTAAGTGTAAGATATTATATTAATGTTGTATAAAATGTCAAAATAATTTGTTTACTATTTATCTGTAATAATTTATACATTTTATGCGTACTTATTAATAAACAATAACATTGTAAATATGAGACAATGATGACTTTCGGGAATGCAAAATATTATAAAATGCAGACCAACCCTACAGTCTATTCAGTTCTAATTACACAATCGATATCATTACGTAATGATTGTAATCATCATTAACGAAGTTCTAATTCATTGTTATGTTACCAATTATTTTGAATATTTCTTTAAAATATTTTTAGTTCTCATTGTTTCTAGCATTCAAAATCAAATAAAGTACCAATATTTTACGTTAAAGATACTAGTAGATATTCATAATGTAATAATTTTATAATAAACTTTATAAAGTAATATATTTAAGTTATGTATATTTAGTATTGTTAAAGAACATTTTTATAATATTTTTATTTGTACTAATGGCACAATACATTACTTTTTATGGAAACTACCATGATAGTAATTGAGAATATATAAATAAAGTAAAATTGGTTATACAATATTTCAAAAAATCCTTTTATGTACAAAAAATTTCAATATTAAACAGTGAAAAATTATTTCACACAAATTACAGTAATATAGAGAGTGTTCAATAAGTTCGGAAACACCGATTTTTTGATTTTTTTTTTTAGAGGCTAATTGAATAATTAAATGCATCTTTTACGATTAAAATTAAAGTTCAATCCTAATGCAAAAAGGTAGAAATCTACCTAACTTAAGAAATTTAAATGGTAACAATTACTTTTTTATTAATTCTCGGTTAGGTAATTTTACTTAAAACAAATATACTTTTAAAATTTTAAAATAGGACAAGTCATTTTTAAGATTTTGTTGTTTAAAGCATCAATTTTGAGTTTGGAAGTACATTTTGCCAATGTAAGAACTAATCAATGTGTAATTCCGTAGACACAATAATCATGTATTGCCTGATTATTGTTGCTTGGTTTATTTTAATGCCCGAGCATGAAACGGTGAATAAATATTGTTAAATTGATATTGTACCTTATCAATGGAATTATTAAATATCAATAAAAATATTATTTACAATTGCATTTTATTCACGTTTACAAGTGAATGTAGATTGTTATTGAAAAACATGTGTGTTATCAAATTAAATATTTTAGTCAATTACAACCAATTGTACGTTCTTATTCATTAAAATGATTTTAACGCGTTGTTATCATTTTGCAGCATGAACATTTAAAGGTTCTATGTCAGATATTATTGACTTTTTAATTTTTAACTCTTAATAATTTTTTGTAGAAATTAATCAATTTGAGAATTATTATTTATAATAACTATTGAATTATTGTCATACTACATTTTTTATGGGTTTTTAAATTTCTGTGGTTTAACATTTTTTTAACAAACATAATATCATAGGTTTTCGTGTTAGGAAAAATACCACATACTCTAGTCCTTCCACCGGACATATGTTACTAGATTAACCCCTACTTTTATACGTAATTAATTTAGTACTTAGAATGTTGATTTAAATACTTTCAAAGTTATTAAGCATGCAATATTTATTTAATTTTTTTTTAAATTTCTTTCTTTTAAAATCAATAATATTAAAACCTAAAAAGTTTTACCAATAGAATCTTATTGTTCTGTAAACAACATTTTGTACTCTTTTTCACAGATAGATTTTTTTTTTGATGACTAATATTTAAACAATGTACACATTTCTAATTTTGTTTTCTAATTATTCACTAAAATAATTTTAATTATAGTAAATATGCTCTAATTTTGTGTTCATTTTCCTGTTGCGCATTGCATCTATTAATTTTAAATACTTATTTTTAAGATAAATCCATAAAAAATCTGCATGTATATGGAACTAATAAGATGAGTATTATGATCATTTCACTGTACCATAAGCTCTATATTTTCATTGGATAATTCACTACTTAATAATTCAACTACTATTCTGTTATATCTTATTATATTACATTGGGTTTACTCAATTTTATATTTTCAGTAGAATGCTTGGTTCATCAATTTAAAAAATAAACAAATTTCTTGACATTTTTAATCGCATAATAAGAAATTAGTATTTCTATGGAAACAGGATTTATCTGTAAGTTATTTAAGAAAATTTTCAATTGAAATAGATAGCCTGTAAATATATTGATGACATTTTAAAATATATTTAAAAACTTACTAACCTTATACAATGAACAATGATTATCATCCTTTAATATAATAAAACTTAGTTAAAGGGGATCTAAAGAATTTTTTTTTTAATTGATATTTTTTTTTATAGTAACTCAAAAATAAAATAAATATAATAAAATTATTTTTTCCCCTATATATTAGTGGAAAAAGGAGTTACTATTTATTTTAATAATAAAAGTTTCTCGGGTAAGAGTTCGAGGGTTTAATAGAATAGTGAAAAGGTAATAGAAAGACACAGTGATTTTTTTAGTGATCACTCAATCTTTCTTTATTCCTATGTTAACCATATACTTTAAAAAAATGTAATATTTTTAAACCTTATTAATTTAATTAATTAGTATCTACCTTGATGTTTCCGGAGGATGTCTAGAGAATGAATTAAGTCGTCTCGTTTACTTTAAATAAATCTGAACGTGTCTGTTCAATTTTTACACATGAATTAAACGATTGAGATTAATGAGCTGCGTCAATACTGGGAGCACGCCTGGATCGATGAAGAATGAGCCAAGGGAGTATACTGTCGTAACACAGTAAAGAAAAATGATAAAAGTGGAATGTGTGAAAGTGTAAATGTGTAACTGTGTGTACGAAGATGAATATGAGGAGGTGGTGCCTGCTGTCTAGGTATTCACGTGCGTGTTGTCGTACAGCAGTCACCGTGCTCGGCTGACACTCCGGGTTAGCTGTGGGTGTCAAAAGGCTGTTGTTATAGGAAGGGAGAATGAGAGTAACACCTAGGTATGAGGTGCAGACGAAGTGCAAGACACAAGTACTCTGAAATGTCGAGGAAAAGAGTATATAGGTTAGAAAAGGAATAAACAAAGACTTTACTTTAAACAGTAAGCCGGACAGCGACAACCGAGTACTGAGACTGATGAATGACACAAGGCACTGGAGTCGACTGACCACGATGGTCAGGTCTATTGGGTTTTTATAATAATTACACCTATTGCCGATTTGGCAATAAATATTATTTGTTAATTCACCAGTCTCAGGCAGCGGATGTGCTGTCTGTATTTTATTAAAATAATTCTCACGATTATGAAAACGTGACACCATCACAATACTGACGAGACAATGAGAGCATGCCGAGAATATACTGCTCATTTTTAGTTCTTTTTTGTCCCCTTTTATATTGCTGTTTTGTTAATTTTTATAACTTTATTCATATGCAAGAAGTGTCAGAAACGCTATTGTTATCTCATTATTAAATTATTTAATACATGTTATCTTAAAAACTAATATACTATTCTGGACAATGATTAATTATTTCATTACAAAATTGTCATATTAGTGACAATCCATATAAACATTTATGTGTATTTTATTATTTACATGAAAGTTTTAAATTAATTTAGTTTATTGCTTAACAGATAATATTGATTATGTGACAGTATGACAATTTTTACTTGACAATAGTTATCATAGTTCATTGCTTAGATAAGAATTGTAATGAGAGGTCAATGTATTATAACAATTCATAATGATAATTACAAATATTATGCATAAATTTACTAATTTTAACTTCGATGCGAAGCTGAGAAAGTATTGGTTTTACTAAAATGTGTTTTTTTTTTTATTTTATTTTTTTTTGTGTCTGTTACCACTTTTGCTTAGCACTCATCGAACCGATTTCTTTCAATGATACGTCAAAAGATCACAAATCGTATCTAGTCGGAGACATTACCCTCAAAAATTGAAAAAATTTCCCTCGTTCTCCGTAAATGGGGAAAACCTCCAAAAAAATTACAAATTTAAAAATCGCTAATTTTCGAAATTTTTTCAATTTTTTTTACTAAAAACTGCCGTAACTTTTTCAAAAATGAACATATCAATATAATTTTTTTTTTATAGATGCTTGATGTTTTTATCTATCATTTGGTATATATTTTTTGTAAATATGACACTTAACCTGAAAAAATGTTCCGGAAGGTCTGACACTTTTATATATATCTTAAATTAAAGATAATGTAATGTACTTTATCATGGAAAAAAAAAATTTGACCTCTGGACTAGTCTTCGAAGTGAAAATGGCTACCGTATGCTATTTTTGTGTGAAATTTCTCGATTTTATATTTTACATTTTTTACTTTAAAATGCTATAACTTTTGAAAAAAGTTTTTTTCAATTTTTTGATGAGAAATAATATTTTTTTAATAATCCCTTTTTTATTCAGGATATTAATAAGAAAATAGCAGATCATGTAGCTTTTGGAATAATCCACCAATTATTTAAAATTAAACACTATCTAAAGATTTGCATCGAAGCGTTTTTTATGATAATGATTTTAATCACTGTCAGATATCATTATACTTGATTCGATTATGGCACATCACCTCTGTGCCACAACCTCACTTTGCTGGGTTTTTTTTTCAAATATATGTTACTTTGTGTTATAAAAAATCAGTTGCTTATTGGAGTTAAAACAACCCAAATAACACATCATTTCTTAAATAAATATAAAAAAATATTGAACGGTAAAATAGAAAAAAATACAAAAAGAATTATCTGAAATGTAATACACTTAATATTTTACAGAAGCCAAAAATACATTGTTACAACATCAAAATATTACCTTGATTTAAATAATAGAAACATTGAATATGAATTAAAATTACATAATTCATTTGTTGGACAAATAAATAAATCATATCAAAAGTCAGTTAATAAAACATAATTTATATTTATTATAATAATAATTAATTGTAAACATTTTATAACTGACATATGCCATAATAAATAATAGAGAACATTTTATTTGTATATTTCACATTCAAAAAAATAATACATATAATTATAATTTCCCAATGAACAAAAAAGTATTATTCTATTGTTAATTTACTAGAAAAATTGTTCCAATCAATTAATTAAATACAGATGTATTATAAAATAATGATTAGATTAGTTAAATTAAACATTTTTTTTTTTTACATAATTACATTCAAAATAAAAAATAAATACTTTTTTAAAGAGACATATTATAATAAATGTTTTTAAGGTCGAAAATTAATCTTTTTCAATAATAATATCAACAAACAAACTAAATTAATTAAATTTAAATTGACATATTTTAAATTGACGTGATGGGGTAAACTTCAATTTACAACATGAAAATTTAATTATTTTTATTAGTTAAGTATGTCTGGTGGGTATTTGCGCCGGACTCATCATTCGCTGTCCGGTTTTCGACTGACTTACAAACACAAAACCTACGCTACACCGCCGCCAACTATTCTATAACAAAAAATATCTACCGTTTTTTCCCCAATATCAAACAAGCCGCCCACTTTCATTAACCAAAATCAATATAAAATTTATCTAACAAACCAATATATTTATATATATATATAAAACACAAAAACAAATTTCAAAAAGAAAACCAACATTTTAAAATAACAAACCGATTACAAAAATATTTTTATTGACAAACAATAAATTTTAATAAATCAATCGATTTCAATCGGCAAAGGGCTTAAATTTCGAACTGCTCGAAAGTATTTACCAAAGACTGTTCTTACCCTTGCTGTGTGGATCACGCCATCCTTACCACATATAACAATTAATACTCAGCCCAATCGCCTGACCAGAGGGCTGAGATTTTCTTCTTTTATTAAGACGATGGAACCCACTGACAGTTTAGGTCCCTTTTCTTTTGCCCATTTGTAGCGAGTTTGAAGTTGTGAACGATATTCGCTACTAGCATTTCCATATTTGCTGAGAAAACTTATTTATTCTACGTCAACGGTCTAATCGATTTGACGGAGTATCGCTTACGTCTCTCTCTGGTAATGTAGTCAATGCTTCACCAATTAGAAAATTACCAGGAGTTAGCACAGTTAAGTCGGTTGGACAAGGAGACAAAGGAGTGAGAGGACGTGAGTTCAGACAAGACTCAGCGCACGTAAGAATTTTTTTCCAATTTTGAGGGTAATATCTTCAACTAGATACGAATTGTAGTAATTTGACGTATCGTTGAAAAAAGTAGGTCAAGTTAGAGCAGAGAAAACAAACATTTTCCAACTTAAAAGTTAAAAAACTTGTTGGTAATTATGGGATATGTTAGAGTAAAAAAAACCCAGCACAGGGGGATCGCGGCACAGTGGTGTCGTGGCATAGTTGGATCAAATATAATGATATCTGACAGTGATTAAAATCACTATCAAAAATAAAAGCTTCGATGTAAATCTTTAGATTGTGTTTAATTTTAAAAAAATTGGTGTATTATTCCAAAAGCTACATGATCTGCTAGTTCCTTATTAATATCTTGATTAAGATAAAGTATGTCGAATGAAAGAGGGATTATTAAAAAATATTATTTCTCATAAAAAAATTGTGTTGATCCATACACTTTTCAATAAGTTATAGCATTATAAAGTTAAAAATATAAAAAATATAATCGAGAAATTTCACACGAAAATAGCATTCGGTAGCCATTTTCGACGTGAAGACAATTCTAGAGGTCAAATTTTTTTTTTTTTAAATTAATATATATTATATAAGCTTTCATTTAAGATATATATAAAAGTGTCAGACCTTCCGGAACATTTTCAAAAGTTAAGTTGAAAAAGTAAATTTTTTGTGAAAAAGTTGTCATTTTAAATCCCCCCCTGTGGGCAGGTAAAGGGTCAGATATGAAAAAAAATATATACCAAATGATAGGTAAAGACATCATGATCTATAAAAAAAAAATTATATTGATATGTTCATTTTTGAAAAAGTTAAGGCAGTTTTTAGTTAAAAAAATTGAAAAAATTAACGATTTTTAAATTTGTAATTTTTTTGGAGGTTTCCCCCATTTACGGGGAACTAGGGAAATTTTTTCAATTTTTAAGGGTAATGTCTTCGACTAGATACGATTTTTGATCTTTTGACTTATCGTTGAAAGAAATTCGTTCGGCGAGACCTGAGAAAAAGTGGTAACAGACACAAAAAAAAAACACATCATAGTAAAATCAATACCTTCTCAGCTTCGCATCGAAGCTAAAAAACGATGAAAGTTTCAAGTCTTAAATATAAATACTGTTATCATAAGGATATTTTTACGAATTTCAAGTATTTCATAATTTAAAACTTTTGATAAGTCATAAATAAATAAAGTTTCGTAAAACTTTTTTAATTTTTTCTTTTTATACACTAGACAACTTGTGTGTAAAATTTCAAAAAAAGAAAAAATAATGTGGTCGCGCAACGACTTTAGATGATTTGATATGGTTTTATCCTCCTTTTTATGCGCTTCTGAATGAAATAACTCATACACCTCTTTTAACTGACGATCTTTACCATGAAAGTTTGTGCCATTATCTGAATATATCACACTAAGTTTTTCTCTCCTAGCCACAAACCTCTGTAATGCTTGTATAATTTCCTGCGTACTTAATCCATTTACCAACTCAATTTGTACGGCCTTAGTTGAAAAACACACGAACACACTAACATAAGTCTTTTTTAAAGATGCATTTTTTTCTTAGGCTACTATTTAACATCACTGGCCCCCAGAAATCTACTCCGTTTATCTTAAAAGCTCGAGAAGGTTCAATTCTATCGCTTGGCAGGTACCCCCATTATGGACTGCACCATGATGGGTCGTTGTCGAAAACAACGCAGACAATTGAATATAATTCCTTTAATTGTATTCCTTGCATTTAATGGCCAATATCTTTGCCTCGTGGACGCTAAAACAGCTTGTAGACCACTGTGACATAACCTTTCATGCTTATTTTTAAGTAACAATTTAGTTAACGTACTCTTAGCCGGTATAATCAGTGGATGTTTTTGAAAGGTCTCTAATGATGCTGCATTTTTTAATCTTCCATCCACTCTAAGTAATCCACTTTTATCCAAGAAATGTTGTAGGCGAAAAAGTTTACTTTTTTGTGATACTCAACCGTTTGGTCTTTTTAAACATTTTATTTCTTGAAAAAAATATTCATTTTGAACTATATGCACTAATGCCTTTTCAGCTCGTTCCATCTCGTGTACTAAAATAAGAACTGTCATTCTATTTAATGGTTTACCATTAAGATCTTTTTTATACGATCCCTATATCGCAAACAATATGCCATAATACGCCATATTTTNTATTGTGATAAAAGCGTCGGGCGCTCAATATACGAAAAATATGGCACAAAGCACCCACGCTTTTATCACAATAATACTAGTATTTTTTGTTCATAATTATTTTAAAAATTATTTTTAACTTTTTAGTTCGATGTACTTTAAAAGCGTGTTTTTTTAGTTTTTTAAACTATATTTATTTTTTACTTTTTAGTTTCATGTTATGATAGTAGTTACTATCAATATCATGGTTGTTACGGGTAACGGGAAATCAGGGTTCGATTCTGGGGAGGGAGTCTGAGAAACGGCTACCACATCCAAGGAAAGCAGCAGGCGCGTAAATTACTCACTCCCGGAACGTGGAGGTAGTGACGAAAAATGACGATACGGAAATCATCCCTCGTAATCGGAATGAATACTTTATGTCTCTTAATTAGAATAAATCGTGTTAATATATAAATTTTAATAGTAATTAGAATATATATATATATTAGGGTGTCCCTTATTTATAAAATTTAAAATAAAATTTAAAAATAACAAAGTGCCACCCCCTAGAATTATTGAAATACATAAAAAAATAAATTGTACAAAATTTGGTGACGATTGGTCAACTCTAAGACGTGCCCCAAGGGGGTTAAAAATAATCCCCCAAGGGTAATTTTTTAGTTTTTTATGTCCACCTCAAAAACTTTAGCTTTTGCGAAAATTTTTATTTGGACTTTTTTGTAGGTATACAATTTTTCTATAAAAAGTATATTTACAAAAATTTTCGAAAAGTTCTTATTTAGCCCTGAAAAAATAAAAACGTATATGTTCCATTCTTACCATTAAAATTGTTAATTTATAAATCGTTCACTGCAAAAACATAAAAAAAAATAATTTAACCGTTGTTTTAAATTTAATTTTCTATACATTTTTAATTTGACATTTTTTCAAATTTATTAATTTGCACAATTTATTAATTACAAATCTGTGGCCGATGGACCATTTGGTCGGTAGCTTACGGTATTTTAAATTTTGACTAAAAACTCTTATTTTAGTTAATAATATGGACTGTATTTTTACTATATATCTTTTATATTTCATATACGAATAAAACTATAGGTGCGCCGGACTCATCATTCGCTGTCCGGTTTTCGACTGAATTACAAACACAGAACCTACGCTGCACCGCCCCCACCTATTCTATAACAAAAAATATCTACCGTTTTTCCCCAATATCAAATAATATCTAAATGTATATCAAAATCAAAAATAAATTTTACATTAATTGTTATGGTTACCAAGTATGAAACTATACAATGTTTTAACATGAAAACTTTAATGATAATTCATTTATAAAAATACAACCCAACAACCAACTATATATGTAATTTTTCTTTAAATAATTTTACAAATGCTGAATAAAATTGTTTTAACAAAACAACAAAATATTAAGATAAATAAAAATGTAGTCAGACTAATTTTTTCAACAATTTTTATAACACAATATTCAGAATTAAACTTATAATCTTTACTATAATATTTTATAATATTCAAATTTCTTTTGCTAAAAATAGTTATTTTGGTATATTAGTTTTGGAAGCATCAATTGAGTAATTAGTAGATTGGATATGTGTATTGAAATAATCACAGTTAGTTTAGTATCACAGTAATTCATTTGAATTTCAATACCATAAGCAACTGAAGTTAAAATATTTCTATTATAACTTAAATATGCACCAACCAATAGTTTACTTATTAAATTGAATTGATGGAGTTAAGGTTTTGTTTTATAATAAATAATTAATTAACACAGTGGATAGATAATCGATGATAACTTATATTACTATTATTATAAACAAATGTGTTGATATTATTAAACAACACATTGGGTACAGTAATATTATTTAAGATAACAGTTTAATGTATTTTTACTTATGTTAGTATAGTACAAGGTCAAAGGGACACATTCCTTTTACGATTATGTTGTTTTACTCAATGCAGCCTATTGTATACATGTTTACAGTTTAGTCGTAGTTTCACCGTCTATCGAGTAAAGTGACCCGTTGCCGTTGTACATCTCTTATATTATATGTTTTGACATTTTATATTAAATACTATTATATTAAGAATAATTTCTAAATCTTTTAATTACATAACCTATTCCATTCAACAGGTTATGGGCCCAGTACCCAGTACTCAATATTTAGATGTTTTTTTAGTAATATAATTAATCGTGAAATTTAAAGTGCGTTCGCGTAGTAAGTGCGTCGATCATGTTAAATATTATTGTAATTTTTTATTGTAAACAGACAGTGTACACGATNATTGTGTGCAGACAGTGTACAGGAAATTCGTTATCATGGAAAACGAATCTATAAAAATTAACAAACTAAACGGCAGTGAAAATTGGGCAAAATGGAAATTTCAAATGACGGTAATATTAAAATCATATGATGTGTTGTTTTCTGTTATAAATGGAAGTTATGAATATCCAATTCAAATTATAAAACATGATACAGAAACAGACACAGAGGCACAATTGCGTTTAGAACAAGTGCAGCAAAAATGGTTAATGACAGATGCTAAGGCTCAACGTTTTATAGTTATGTCAGTAGATGAGCAGTCATTAGATTACATAATGAACTGTGACACAGCGAAAGGTATGTGGAATAAATTACTGAGTGTATATGAACAAAAGTCTGATACATCATTTATATTAATTCAGCAAAACNCTGATACATCAATTACATTGATTCAGCAAAAATTTTATAGTTATGTTATGGATAAAAATGATAATATGGCACAACATATATCAAAATTAGAAAACTTGAGTAAACAATTAAAACAGTTAGGTGAAGCAATATCCGATTCAATGCTTATAACCAAAATTCTTATGACCTTGCCAGAAAATTATAAATATTTTTATAGTGCATGGGATTCTATATCATCTGAGAACAAAACATTGTTAAACTTGACATCCCGACTTATGGTAGAGGAAACAAGACAAAGTAATGGCCATGAAATCCAGAAAAATAATGGTGAAAATAGTGCATTTGCGGCGAAAAAATTGTTTAGAACACAAAAACAAAAATATTCAAAATTTGGAAATCAACAAANGAAAAAATTGTTTAGAACGCAAAAACAAAAATATTCAAAATTTGGAAATCAACAAAATAATGATAGAAAACCAGGAATTTGCAATTTTTGTAAGTAACCAGATCATTGGAAACGTGATTGCTGGATTTTTAAGAAAGAACAAGACAGAAAGAATAAAAACGAATCGAATTCTGGTAATGCACTAATAGGCGTTAATTCAATGGTAAGCAAAATTAGTGATTTTGATAAATGGTATGTGGACTCCGGTGCAAGTGATCACATGACCAGTAGAAGAGAGTGGTTCAGAACTTATGAGTCGTTCAAGATTCAGTTGCCAGTACGTATTGGTGATGGTAAATATATTATGGCTATTGGTAAAGGTAATATATATGTTCAAGCAAAAATTGGCGAAAAATGGGTTGACAGTTATTTGTCAAATGTTTTACATGTACCTGAACTCAAAGTAAATTTGTTTTCATGTGGAGCGTGCCTTGATAAAGGTATAATAATGATAACAGACAAATAATGTTTTTACATTTAAAAGAGGAAATAGTACAGTTGCTGTTGGAATTCGTGAGAATAAATAATTTATTAAAACAATTATTGTTTTCGATGATTTTTAAAACAAGGATTTTGCAAGAGATAGATCAAGTGAATATTGCTGAAAAAATTCTTACATTACAACAGTGGCATGAAAAACTAGGTCATCAGAATGTTCAATATGTTAGAAATTACCTAAGGCATATGGGTATTCAATTCACAGATATGGAAAACAAATTTTTCTGTGAAGCTTGCATTTATGGTAAACAACACAGAGAACCATTTACACTGAGCAGTACCAAAACAACAAAACCAGGTCAGATAATTCACAGTGATGTTTGTGGACCCATGGAAGAAAATTCTCTTGGTGGTAAAAGATACTTTGTTATATTCAAAGATGATTACTCTAAGTATACATATGTATATTTTATGAAACAAAAATCAGAAGTAAAAGAGAAGTTTGAATTATTCTTAAATACAGTGAAAAATCAGTTAAATATATCAGTTCTTACTTTACGAAGTGATTGTGGTTTGGAATATAAGAATGATGAAGTCAAAGCTATTTTGAATAAATTTGGTATAAAACATGAGACCAGTGTACCATATACACCACAGCAAAATGGTAAAGCGGAAAGAACAATGCGTACAATAGTAGAAGCCGCTAGAACTATGTTATACAGTAAAAATTTGTCAAAAAAATCTTTGGGCTGAAGCGGTACATACAGCTGTATATGTATTGAATCGTACGTTAAATTCAGGTAACAAAGAAAAAACGCCCTATGAATTATGGTATAATAAAAGTCCCAATATAAGCAATTTTAAAGTATTTGGTAGTGAAGTTTATGTTCATATACCAAAAGAAAAACGTAGAAAATGGGATCAAAAAGGGAGAAAAGGAATATTTGTTGGGTATTCAGAAGAAACTAAAGGATACCACATATGCTTTGATGGAAAAGAAGTTTCATTAAGCAGAGATGTTATATTCAAAGAATCTATGGAAATAGAAATCAAAATTAAAAAAGAAGATGAAGAAATAAATTCAGAAATGGTGATTGAAAGTGAAGAAAATAACATTAATGATGAGAATAATGTTGAAAGAAAACAAAATATGGATGAACTTGATCAATCAGCAGATCAGACTCATGAGCAATTAAAAATGAGACTTAGAGATAGACAAAATATAGAAAAACCAGTAAGGTATAGAACAGAAACATTTTATTCAATGTGTGATAATCCAGTTACATATGAAGAAGCTATGACACAAGAAAATTCAGAAGATTGGAAAGAAGCAATGGATGAAGAAATGTTGTCATTAAAAAAGAATGAAACCTGGGAATTAGTAAATATACCAACAAATAAAAAAGTACTTAACAATGTATGGGTATATCGAACCAAACTTAAGAAAAATGGAGAAGTTGATAGATTTAAAGCCAGACTAGTTATAAAAGGCTATGCACAAGTGCATGGAATTGATTCTCAAGAAACTTTTAGTCCAGTTGTAAAATATGACTCTATACGAGTACTGCCNGTCCAGTTGTAAAGTATGACTCTATACGAGTACTGCTAGCAATAGCAGCAGCCAGAAAATTAAAACTCAGACAATTTGATATTAAAACAGCCTTTTTATATGGTGATCTTGAAGAAGAGATTTACATGAACCAGCCAAAAGGTTATGAAGATGGAACTAAACAAGTTTGCAAACTTCAACGAAGCTTGTATGGATTAAAACAAGCACCCAGGTGCTGGAATACAAAATTTTTAAATTTGTTGTTAAAATTTGATCTAAAAGAAACAAAGGCAGATCCCTGTGTATTTGTAAGTAATAAAAATGAATAATTAATGATTGTAGCTATTTTTGTAGATGATGGGATTATAGCAGCAACAATTGATGAGCAGGTGGACATGATGGTGAAGTACCTGATGAGCAACTTTGAGACAAAATCAGGTGAACTTAATCATTTTCTGGGTATTGAAATTGATCAGAGATCAGATGGGTCAATATTTATACATCAGTCATTATACTGTCAACGCGTTTTGGAGAGATTCAATATGGCTGAATCCAACGCCCTATGCATTCCTGCAGATCCACAACACTCATTAGATGCAAATTTATCTGAATCATTACAAGCAGGGGAAGTTCCATACAGAGAAGCAGTAGGAAGTTTGTTATATCTAAGTCAGATCACAAGGCCTGATATAACATTTGCTGTAAATCTTGTCAGTCGCTATTTAGAAAAGCCTCTGATAATACATTGGAATGCGGTAAAACTTATTTTAAAATATTTAAAAGGAACCTATAACTATGGTTTATTTTTTCATTCTAGGGTGAAACTTAAGTTACATGGTTATAGTGATGCAGACTATGCTGGTGATACAACAACAAGGCGATCAACATCAGGATACATTTTCATGATGACTAATGGAATAATAGCATGGTGTTCACAAAGGCAAAAATCAGTAGCACTCTCAACTACTGAGGCTGAATACATGGCACTGAGTCAAGCAGTCCAGGAATTAACTTGGTTGACGCTACTAACAAGTGATCTTCTGGAAACACAGGGAGAGACACCTGTTTTGTACGCGGACAATCAAAGTGCCATAAAATTGGTGAAGAATCCAGAATTCCATAAACGAACTAAACATATAGATGTTCGTTATCATTATATTCGTGAGAAGTTCAATGAAGGGATGTTTTCACTGGAGTATGTGACCAGCAAAGAGCAGTTAGCTGACATCTTGACCAAGCCAACACCACGAACAAGATTTCAAGAACTCAGAGAAATGTTAGGAATTAGATATATAGATTTATAATTTTTTAATTAACTATGTACGGGTGTATTGTTTAAGGGGAAGTGTTGATATTATTAAACAACACACTGGGTACAGTAATATTATTTAAGATAACAGTTTAATGTATTTTTACTTATGTTAGTATAGTACAAGGTCAAAGGGACACATTCCTTTTACGATTATGTTGTTTTACTCAATGCAGCCTATTGTATACATGTTTACAGTTTAGTCGTAGTTTCACCGTCTATCGAGTAAAGTGACCCGTTGCCGTTGTACATCTCTTATATTATATGTTTTGACATTTTATATTAAATA